TCTAGGTCCGTCCCAAGCTGAAAAAAAACATTAAAAATTGAATAATTAAAAGGTTTTTGTTCAGAAAATTGCAAAACAAACAAAACGATACTTTTAAAATTCAAACATCTATAAGTGAATGTGTTATAAATGTCAAAAAAGACGATAAAGTTAATGTAATGGTCGAAATTTAGCATTTGAGGATAAAAAAGAGCAATAGAAAAGGTAATAAAAGTACTGTACTTTTTATGGATCATAGTTTTATGAATGTTTAGGCAAGACTTTAAAAAGTTAATCAGAATTTTGAGGTTGAGGTGCACAGGGTTATCTTTTTTATGACAAATAGAAACCAAAACATTTGAAGTGAGAGAGAGAGAGAGAGGGAGAGAGAGAGAGAGAGAGAGAAAGTTAAAAAAAAAAAACAAAAATTAACTACATTGATTGTCCTCAACATTTTTAATCATTCCAAGGGAGTATAATAAGGGGTTTGAAGTGGTGAAAGTGGAAAACAGGTAACTCCAAAGGGATTCACAAACGATGCGGACTGCGATGGATGCATAGGTGGCCCCATGAACATGGGAAATGGTGGAAAAACTGAAAAAAAATTAGTTGGAAGATGGATATTTCACTTCTGTTGCAATTCAAGCAATCATAGCTAACGTAATAGAATACCTCCCCAGACGTTAACTTTCACCTCAATTATCTCGGATACTGTAAAAGATACAGATTTTTGATACCTCGGACCGGAACCGGGATGATTGAGTTCAAAATTCACGTATGGGTTGACTTCTATCAGAGCATTTGTTATCGTCCACACCATTAACTTTGACCCAATTTGTCTCGCTTTCTGTGAAAGCTATCAAAAATTGGTCAACTGACAAAATGTTTGTTATACTATCAGAAGTATTTTGTTAGTTATCAACTTTTTGATATCTCATACGGGGGTCGAAATAAAAGGATTGAAGTTAAGTAATCTAAAACAAAATAGATTACCTGGTAAATCTTGGTCATTAGACTTCCGACGAGCTTGACGTTTTTGAAGAGACGGTAACTCGTATCTGGAATAAAAGAAAATAATAGGTATAATAGAATGTAAATTCGGTTCATTGAGCTCGATTGTGTCAATCGATTGTGTCAATCGAGAATCGAAGGAGAAAAGATTTGTCATCCAACAACTCATGTTTATGGATGACAAATCCTGATATCATAATGTTTGGTTTAGAAAGCGTATATAACATGGGCGACAGCCACAATTGATGTAAAGTTTTTATATTATTTTAACTTTATCCCTTTTATCTGTATCTTTTTATCTTGCTTTCTTATCTAATAAAAGGTTTAATTACCCAAGTTTGAGATATTCACAAGGTGAGAGATTACTTGGAATTTCTCATCTTGACATGGCGACCACTCGACCTACCACCGCCGTCAGCTCCAGCAGCAGTGGAAAGTTGCGGAGCCAAATTGGACAAACCAAAAGGAGAATTTCGGAGCACTTGTTGGACAAAGTACCCGGAACGGATTCAATCAATGGCTACAATGCTGAAGATACATACGACTTCCTACTGGATCTCGGAGACACTATGGACAACCTTTTAACACAATCCAGGAAACTTCAACAACTGGATCAAAAATAGACAAACCTCATCAACCAGAACCCGTCGGAGAAAGAAATTCAGAAGCAGTATACTGACACATACGGTAATTATAAAGATTCCCTCACTACTGCTCTCGAGCAACTTGAGAAACTCCGACCAATTTACAAATTTGGACTCAAACAATTGGAACTTCTGGATCCCACAAAAGCCTCACTGATGCAAGCCGCAGACGACTTCATCGGAGATGCCACATCAACTCAAACACCAATCACTCAACCACCAACCAATGGCGGGCAAATGGAAATGCCCAAATCAACTTTCAACCTCAACCAAACCAATCAATCCACCAACGCCGAATCCGACTTCATCATCAACGTGGGATCAAACGCTGATCCAATCGTACCAATTCCATCATCAGGACATAACATTGTGGTTAGTCACCAATCTCGTCTTGCTGTCCCTCAAATGAAAATCCCCACCTTCTCGGGTGACATCTCCAAATTTCTCGAGTTTCGAGACTCTTTCACATTTACCATGCGCCTGATTCAAGTTGACGACCTCTCGAAGCTACACTATTTGAGATCCTCCATGGAAGGAGAACCAGAAGAGTTACTACGCAGTCTACCCATCATCAGTTCCAACTATGAGATCGCAATGAAGGTTCTGGAAGAGCAATATGGAGGACAAGTTCGCATCAAGCACAACTTGTTGAGCAAGCTGAGTGATCTTCCTGATCTTTCGCAGGACACCAATTCCACAAACTTCAGAAGATTCACAATCCAGGCTAGTCTATATTTCGACCAGTTACTCAACTTGAATTGTGACGTCGACAACTTCTCAACTGGTCACATAATCCAGAACAAACTTCCAACACGAATCAAACGAATCCTTTTTGGGAAAGGAGAAGCGAACATGCCTACTTCCACCAAGGATCTGATCTCTCGATTGAAAGAACTTTCCCGCGATGAAAACCTTCTCACCGAGCTGTTCAAAAACAAAGGAAATCAACATCAAACAAGCACCACGATGCTGAGTCAGCAGACCACCAACAAACATAAACAACAAAAAGATCATCTGGGACATCTTGGACAAGGAAAACAAATCGATTCAACCACCTTCAAAGTGACCACACCATGTGCCTTTTGCGCAGAGGAGAAGTTCATTCATCCTCACATTCATTGCAAAAGATACAGCACAGTGGAATCACGAACGGATCGAGCAAGAGAACTACACCTATGTTTCCGATGCCTGAGATCTGGTCATTCTTCACAAACCTGCCAACGACAATGCCACCATTGCCAGGGCAATCATCATCAATCTCTGTGCTATCGTTTCCTAAAAAGACACGTCCAATCCAATGGAAATCCGCCACCATCAACATCCAATCCTTCATCATCACCATCTTGGAACAATGCATCCCATCAACAGTCAACGAACCGTCAACAGCAACAACAAAATATAGCTCCAAAAGCCAAACAATATAATGGAAACAATGGTCAACCACAACAAGGAAATCAAAAGCACAACTTCCAGCAGAAACCGTATTTTGGACATCCACAACAACAACAACAACAACAACGGACCAATTTGGCAATGGCTACAGAACCTGGCGAAAACCAAACAATGACAGTCATAACCTACGTGGATGACACAATTGTAAAACCTATCACCACTCTGGAAACCGTTACTTCAATGGAACCCCTTCAACAATCTGCAGAACTCAAGCAACAGTCCGTTATCATGATGACCGCTGAACTACCCGTTTTGGACAAAGATGGCAATGAAGTGAAAGGAACAGTGTTTTTCGACAGCGGCTCTAACATGAGCTACATCTCCACATCATTCGCAGAAAAACTGAAATTGGATCCCTTGCTCAATAAACAACTCCACATCGATACATTTGCCTCATCAGAAAGCCGCTCCATCAACTCGAATGTTTTCAACGTCTCCATCAGGAATCTGAAATCGAGTATTCCCGTCAAACTATGCGAAGTCCCCTACATTGCACGGAACATTGTTTCGGTGGATGTAGACAACTCCATGATCAATCAACTCCTGAATTATGAACATATACCATTGCAACGACAGCAGAAAGAAGTCGACATCCTAATTGGCCTGGACACCTACTTGGAACTTTTAGGTCAAGTCAATACTGTTCGACTTTTCAATGGACTCCATTTGAATATGACGGATTGTGGCCCCATAATATCAGGACGAGAAACCATCAATGCACTCACTCTCTTGTGTAAACAAGACATCCCTACTGACGCCATCTGCCAGGAATTACACAACTTTTGGAAATTGGAAAGTATTGGAATAACGGATCAACCGAACTTGAAAATCGATGAAGAAGTAAACGAATTCTACACCTCCACCACTACCAGAGATACTGATGGCCGTTTCATCCTTCGCCTACCTTACATCGACAAATCTAATACTCAACTTCCCTCGAACCGTGCTCTTGCTTTCGGACGACTCCAAGGAATCCTCAGGAAACTTCGATCAGATCCCGAACTACTCCAGAAATATGACAATATTTTTGCTGAACAATTGAAGTTTGGATTCATCGAACTTGTGGATGAAAACACAGCAGATGGACCAATCGTGCAATACTTGGGACATCATCCAGTCTTCAAACAGGACTCCAAATCAACAAAAATAAGAATAGTTTTTGATGGATCTGCCAAAAGCTCCAAATCTGCTCATTCTCTGAACGATGTTCTTCACACTGGACAACGACTTCTACCGGACACTGCCGCATTGTTCCTTCGAATTCGTCAATTCATCATCTTGCTGTCTGCAGATATTGAAAAAGCCTTTCTTCAACTGTCATTACATCTAGAAGACCGCGATGCCACTCGTTTCCTTTGGATCAATCCCGCCACCAACAAAGTCATATGCTACCGTTATCGTCGAGTCCCGTTTGGACTGAAATCGTCACCTTTTCTGCTGAACAAATCAGTGAAAACTCGTTTGGAATCCTCCAACAATCCAATGGCTCAAAAAATGATCAACTCTTTCTACGTGGACAATGCTTTCATCGGTGTCAACACATTCGAAGAAGCCAAGGAAGTTTGCGAATTTGCCAGAACACTCTTCAAAACTGCTCAGATGAATTTGTGTCAATGGTTCTCCAACAATGCACAATTCAACAAGTACATTGCCGACTCTCAAAACACTCCCCCGGAAGCCCGTCTACAGAAAGTTCTCGGTATCACATGAGACACTACTTCCGATGACTTCATCTTCGATTTACCAAAAGCTCCGACTGGACTCTTGACAAAAAGAGCTGTTCTTCGATTTATTGCCAGTTGCTACGATCCGATTGGAATCCTCACACCAGTCACCTTGTACGGAAAACTCTTCTTCCAAAAACTTGCCCACAAGGAAATGCAATGGGATGACTCACTGACACCAGATCAACACAAAGCTGTCCAGAAGATCTTGCAACAATTTGAAGCTCCTCCATGGCATGTCCCACGACGATTCTTCCAAGGACTTCTACAATTTCCAACAACTGTCGAATTACACGTGTTTACGGATGCATCCACCATTGCTTATGGTACAGTAGCATACCTTCGAGGACTGGACAACCAACAAGTGGACACTCAATTTCTCATGTCGAAATCTCGCGTCGTTCCCCTGAAGACAAACTACACAATTCCGGCTTTGGAGATGCTAGCCATTCTCACAGGAGTCCGCCTAGCAAATTACTGTCTATCCAATCTTCAATTGACATTTGGAGCATACATTTGGAGCGACAGCTTATGTTCAGTGGATAGCCTCTCTTCGTCTCATGTCGCTAACAGCAGATTTGCTCGAAATCGAATGAAAGCAATCCAAGAAGAAGGTGCCGCATTCATCTACACTCACGTCAAAGGAAAGATCAATCCAGCAGATTACCTCACTCGTGGACTTTCATTCACCGAAGTGGAACAATCCGAACTTTGGCTAAAAGGACCATCCTTTCTTCGCTCAACAGCTCCATTACCAATCCGATGCAACTCAACCAGCATTATGGAAATTCCCACAACTTCCCTCGTCATCCATGAAGATCCAATCATCGACACCCATCGCTTCAGTTCATTTCACCGTCTGCTCAGAACAATGATGGTCATATTTTTGTTCGTCGGCCGAGGAAAAATGCCACTTCAACAAAGAGTCTACCGATCGCTTCAATTCCTGCTCCACCTAGCCCAATCTATCAACCCTCCTCAGGATGATACCATCAAAGCACTCCGATTGAGACGGAGCGACAAGAATAATTTGTGGATCTTCACTGGACGAGCTGAACTTCGACCACTTGTCTACTTACCTCATGGACATATCGCTCAACTCTTGGTTATGGACATTCACATCCGACATTTTCACTCCAGCCCACTCTACACACTATCTCAGCTAAGAGAACAATTTTGGATCCCCCGAGGACGTTCCTTCGTTCAAAAAACCATCAAAAACTGCACACCCTGCCGAAAAATGGAACCTCGTCCCTACCATCAACCTGCGTTCGCGGAATTTCCAAGAAGCCGACTTGAACCATCAAAACCGTTCACCACTACTGGAGTTGACTATGGAGGACCTTTACAAGTGAGTATCAATGGCGTGACTCAAAAAATCTGGATTGTGCTGTTTACTTGCCTGTACTCCCGTTTCACTGCCACCGAAATTGTACTGGACATGAAGAGCACCTCTTTCTTAACTGCACTCCGACGATTTGTATCCATCCACGACAAGCCAACAACGATTATTTGCGACAATGCATCTCAATTCACCATAGTAAGCTCCATTCGAAACATTCTACAAAATGAACTGCAACAGTCACCTTCCATCTGCTCCACATCTTTACCCGAATTTCACTTCATCCCTGCCCACTCGCCCTGGGCAGGCGGTGTTTATGAGAGAATGATGTCATTGATCAAGAAAACTCTTGTGCGTGCAGGAACCACAAAACGACTACTCAGTTTGGAGGACTTCAGAACCACATTGGCAGAATGTACGACCATCATCAACTATCGACCGCTTTCATACGTCTCTTCCGATGATGATATTTCACCTATCCGACCGGTTGATTATGTGTTCCCACACAGACACCGATCCCATCCTCCCATCCTATCTCTCGACTCTCACCTGGATATCGATCTGGAAACGTTGTCGACCAACACTATTCTCCCCACTCAAGAAGGAGAAATAAAGATTGAGAACGAAAACAACTCCGTCATTACTCGTGTCGATTCAAGTGGTATCGTCTCGGTGCAACTTCAACTCAAAAACTACATTGTGGAAAGGATCGTTCAAGAAGATCAATGCAATATATCCCAGATATCTATGGCTGGTTGTTATTCATGTAGCCAAGGATCAATCGTCAAAATGACCTGCTCTTCAATTCAATCAGAAGTAGAAGGTAGGATTCTTTGTCCTTCAATAACATCATCGGTCAACTGCACAAAACAAGGAGAAAGGAATCTATTGGTTCTTCATGTCAATCATCAAACTGTCAATGAAAATTGTTCAATCACATGCGGACATACCACAACTTCATTTCTGCTAATTGGACAATTGTTTGCCGTCGAAACCTTCAAAGACCGAAATTCATCTCATTTGCACCCTATCATGAATTCATCTCCAAGAAAGGTCTGGAAATATTCGAGTTTTTCAGAAACCTGTGGAACAACTTTTGGGACCAAATAAAAAGCTTCATGACACCCTGGATAGTGATTGGAGTACTGATCGTCAATTGCTTGATTGTCGGACGGAGATGTAGAGGGAGAAGAAGAAGATATTATCGACGATTGGTTCGAAGATTCTGATGCTTCATGTTGCTCAACTTCAACTGCTCAACTGCGACTTCTTTCAATTGCTCAACAGCGATTCAATGGTTCAATATTTGCTTCAATGGTTTCAATGGATCAAGATTCGCTGCATGGTTTCAATTGCCTCAATGCTTAATGGCTTAGTCTCGATGGGAAATGCTTCAAGGACAATCAACTACAATCTACACTGCTTCACACACTTCACCTGCTTTATCGGGAATGTCGATTGTGTCAATCGAGAATCGAAGGAGAAAAGATTTGTCATCCAACAACTCATGTTTATGGATGACAAATCCTGATATCATAATGTTTGGTTTAGAAAGCGTATATAACATGGGCGACAGCCACAATTGATGTAAAGTTTTTTATATTATTTTAACTTTATCCCTTTTATCTGTATCTTTTTATCTTGCTTTCTTATCTAATAAAAGGTTTAATTACCCAAGTTTGAGATATTCACAAGGTGAGAGATTACTTGGAATTTCTCATCTTGACAATTGGGGTGACAAACCTGAGCTCATAATTCATCTAGTTTTGATCTTAGCTTGTTTAAATTTTAACTTTCAAAGCTCTCAAGTCAAAAGTTTCAAAATATGTATAAACAAGACTATGATTGAGTCAACTAGATTAGATCAGGTGTCAGTCATAGGTCATGAATCTGTTCGTTTTCGTCCAAATAAAATATCTCACCCAGATAATTCCGAAATACTCAGAGAAGCCTTTCTCTTTCGGCTCTTCCCACCAGAGGGCTGATCCATTTGCATTCTTTGATGAGCAGCCAAATGCTCCATTCCCATAGTTCGGTAGAATGTGGAATGGATCGGGGAGATCATCTTGCCTGGAGCCACCTTAGCGTCCGTAGTGAAAGATGTCCAAGAATGGTCAGGCGGATTCCTCTCGACAGTCACAAAATGAACGCCTTTCCATTCCCAATAATCGTCTTCCTGTGTCTCCCTGAACTGAATCGCATTGGTCCGCGTTTCCATAGAAACACAACAACTGTAGAGTCTTGAATGTAGGTAGCTGGCAAACATGCTACAGGGTAGAAGCATAAGATCATAATGCTGCAATTTTTTTATTTGATGAGTAAGTAATTTTGAGCTCTAACCATGCCGCATTCTTTGAGATGATTGGAGAATCCGAGAAGTTCCACAAACTTTCGACCGCATCTTTTGCAGGCACAATTGTAGCAGCCACTGAAAATAAAAATTAAAATGGAGGTACAGAAATAAAGAAAATTTTTAATATAGTTGAAATGTTTATACAGCTGTTTTGGTTTTTGAGTTATGCGTCTTTAAAGACAGGATGCGCCTAGTTGGACCAAGGAACCAGGAAAGAGTCGCAGAAACTTCAAAGGCGCATTACTCGAAAAAGTAAATGAGATACAGCATATTTGTAACTTGTGAAAGAGATATGCGCCTTTAAAGATAGTGCACCCTGCCACGCCACCTAAGAGGTGCGTAATCTTTAAAAGCGCATAACTCAAAAAGTAAGATACATATGTTTTGTGTTTATTGCAAACATGTAAAGCAGGAAATTTTACATATTTTTGTAGTTGTAAATTTTTTAATAGCTTGCCTCCATATTGAGTTACGCGCTTTTAAAGTTAGCGCATGAGTGGGGTGAGGCGGAGAAACATAAACTTTAAAGGCGCATAACTCGAAAAGTAAAAAGATAGAAAGATTGTGTAAATTGTGAACATGTTTAAAACTTTCTGATTTATGAGAATCCGTTAAAAAAATGTATTTACTTCATTTGGTTCATGAGTTGAGCGCCTTTAGAGTGAAGACGGGCCGAGACGAACCCCAAACAAAGAGAACTTTAAAGGCGCATAGCTGGAAAAGTAAAAGGGATAGGCACATTTGTGTAAACTGTGAAAATGTTCAAAATTTTTTGATTCACAAGAAACCAGTTCAAAAAATTAGTTTACTTCGTTTGATTCATAAGTTATGCGCCTTTAAAGCGAGGACACACCTAGATGAACACAAAACCAAGGAAAGAAAACTTTAAAAGCGCATAACTCAAGAAACAATTTAGCAATTGAAAAATTTCGAAGACTCACGTATGCGTTGCAAAATGTTCGATCATCGCCGAATGAGATCCCATGAATTCACACTTCACATCCTCTTTGCTCAAATAGTAACATCGGTAGACTTTCTTACAATGATGATCATGTTTTCTGAAAATTTTATTGATAGAAAAAAAATTATATTAAAAAACTCACAAATAGCTTTCAAGCAACTTCTGATTATGTTCGAAAGTTTCCATTTTTATTCACAAAAAGTAGGAAAAAACCAGTTAACTTGCGAACGACGAACGCAGGCAACCCAATAATGAGCAGATAGATTGTATCGCGGAGGGACAGGTAATAAGGGTAATTAAATGTTTTCGAGGGGCACCCTCTACCAGCTGCTCCGAGGGAGATTAGGCTTAGATAGCCGTCTCTTTGATGATTTTTTGTACACTATTTTCGAACGAGGGTACTAATCAATTCCAGGTGGGAAAGAAGAGAAGGGAACAAATGTTCTGCATTTGGAAATGGCTATCTGAGCTTTATTTGCCTTGAACACGTCTAGATGAACCCTAAACCAAGCATAGAGAACTTTAAACGCGCATAATTCAAAAAGTAAATGAGCTAGAAAATTTTTGTAAATTGTGAAAGTGTTATGATTTATGCGCCTTTGAAGACAGGACGCGCCTCTCTTTCAAAAAGGTTTAAAGCATCTAGTCAGTAAATACGCTCCAGTAGATTCGTAGGTCAGACAAAACTGAACAAATTCAAAATCGTACATGGCTGTGGTACGGGTTCTTTCGTTTCCGCCATTATAAGTTTGATACTCAGTCAATGAAAAGTAGCATCAAAATCTGGTTTTCTATGAGGACTAGAGGTTTCGGACCAGGCCTGTGCGGCAACAAATTGCCGATCGCCGAAATTGCCGAATTTTTGTTGCCGATTTGCCGTTGCCGAAATCGGCAAAAAAATTTCGGGAATATCGGCAACTGAAATTTTTTTGAATTTAGAGATTTTCACAATTTTTTAGTCAAAAAAATGATTTCGAAGTTCGAAAAATAAAATTTTGAACACCAACATCCCTCAGAGTGAATTTTAGAGGAAATGTGTCCCAATAATCATCAAAAATACTTGCATCGGATCTAAAAATGAGCTTCATTTTTTGTGAGCATAGGAGAAAAATAGATATCATGAGTCACAACTCATCAAAAAAATTATCCAATCTGTCTCAAATCTCTATGGAACGTGTGTCGTGAGTTGCCTAACAAGTTGAGCGCACTATTTTTAAAACTCACAATCGGAGCAAATATTTTCAACCATTGGAATACCCTCTATTGCTAAAGAGAAATAGTTTGCATAAAAAATGTGGTCTTGAGTTGCCAATTTTTGTAATTACTTTTTTAAGGAACTTATGAAACACATTTTCTGTAGTTCTGAGCCGGATAGCATTTTCAGGTGAGTTACGTATCGATTTTACTAAAAAAAGACGCAAGACTTTTGTTGCCGAAAATTGCCGAAATTGCCGAAATTTTTTTTCGGCAATTGCCGAGTTGCCGATCGTTGCCGAAAAGTATTTGGCAAATTGCCGAGTTGCCGAATTGCCGAAAAAATTTTGTTGCCGCACAGGCCTGTTTCGGACCCCCGTGGCAGTCGGGTTTTCTCAATTTGACCTAAAAATCGTGAATTTTTTAGTATTCAAGCAAGTCCAATGTTTGCCCTTGTAAGAAAAACCCTTCGTTTTCAAATTTTAAAATAATGATTCAAACTGTAAAATCCTTAAGCTCAGGGCCCCCGACTTTGACCAAATTTCTATAGGTTCCTGAAAAAGATAACAAAAATTGTTAACCTGATAAAATGTTTATCATAATATCAAAAATACTTTATTAGTTAACACATTATTTATATCTCTTACAAGAACCGAGAGAACTGAGGTCAAATTCGGGGTGCACCTTCGGTCACGAACTCGGTCTTGAAATAGAGTGAGTTTGAACTTTGATTCAATTTATCTCGATTTCTAATAAAGATATCAAAGAGTAATCAGCTAACAAAATGTTCATCATATTGTCACAAACATTTTATTAGTTGGCTATTTTTTATATCTCTTACAGAAACCGAGATAAGTCAACTCAAAGTTGTAGAGCACTTTTTCGGGAATTTTTCGTTCTTCATCTCACTCAAGATCTTGTACAAATTTTCCCCTGATTGTCTGTTTTTAAGATCGTTAGAATTATCGTTTTATGATTTATTGAAACCTATTACTTTTCTGTTAACAACAAAAAACCGAAAATCAGTAAATACAAGAAAAAGGGGTTAAAAGTGAATGGACAGGGTAAATGGTATATCAAAAGTAGCAGAGAAAAAATAAAATGAGGAAGTCGGATACATACAGAGATATTTTGGAATATAGAGAAGCTTTAAAGTATGAAATCAGATGGATAAAATACAAAAAAGACAAAAAAGATTCCTCAACAAAAAACAAGTCCCACAAAAAAGGGGCGACCGAAGTCGGACACCCACGGCTAGGACAATAAATCAAGAGGTACAGTATATTTTGTGCCCAGAGACATGGGTTTTTGTCTCCAAGGGCACAAGAGGGAACACATACACAGAAGTTCAGGGTTCACGACATTCAATACAAATTCTAGATGTAGAGAGCACATATAGCACTCAAGAATCAGACACGGTTTTAAACTCCAGTGGAGTTTTTTGAAATGCGTACAATTTCGGAGACTCTACAGTAGGATAACCTACCGTAGGATTCCGAAAATCCCGAGGAGCCGGGGAACTTCGCGGGAATAAATCGCAAAGACGTACGAGGGACAGAATAAGGGGGTACCGACAGGCAGACGGAATTTTCAAAAGACAAGCTTCTGAATAACTTTTGGCATGTAAAGAAGCAGATATGGAATGAAATGGGGGTCAAAAAAATCTGATAAAACATTGATAACATTTAAGAAGCTAGAATGGAATAAGTAGAGGATAAAAGAGAGGCATAGAAAAAAATAGGCTGAAAATGATGGGTTAAAGAAGATGGGACATCAAAGAAGTTTTTGGATAATTTTGAACTCTTGGAGAAAATATCAGGGGTACTTAGCTAAGTGGCAAAGTTAGAACCCAAAAATTAGTTTCTAATTTTGCGACCGCGTAGCTCGAACTGTTTGACGTCCCACCTCCTTTTTAGACAGATAAGCATGATTTCGAGAAAGATTAAAGAAGAGAGAGAGAGAGAGAGAAAGAGAGAGAGAGAGAAAGAGAGAGAGAGAGAGAGAGAGAGAGAGAGAGAGAAAGAGAGAGAGAGAGAGAGAGAGAGAGAGAGAGAGAGAGAGAGAGAGAAGCAGAGAGAATTTTTTAAATTCTTGAACTAGTCGCTTGCTTTTTGTTCTTCATCCAGTCACGATACTGGGCTAGAATGACTTCTGGATCGGCTCCTTTCAAATTACCAAAATCTGGACAACTCAATTTTTGGTAGAGGTTTCGTTGAGATGAAGGATTTGGTGTTTCTGGAAGGGAAACGGTGATTTTTTGGCTTTTTAGATTTTGTTATACACTATCTATCTACAGGATGTGTATAAACGGTATTTGAACATCAAGTTCAAATACTTATGCTTTAATAGAAGCCTGCAATCTTATAACTGCACTTTGAAGTCAATCGTCTCGGTTCCTATAAGAGATATCAAGTTTTTGTCAACTAAAAAAATGTTTCTGACAACATAATAAACATTTTGTCAGTTGACAGGTGTTTGATAACTTTTCTAGTTTTTGAGATATGCGCTTTTAAAGTTTGCCCTTTGCGCGCGTTCCTTTATATGTAGCTTGGAGTTGCCAAAGAACTGCAAAATGCGTCTCAAACTTTATAGGCTCATATCTCAAAAACCAAAAATTATATCACAATTTTCTCAACTAATGAACTGTTGGTGATAAGATTATAAATATTTTATTAGTTGGCAGAATTTCGCTATCTTGAATAGGAGCCGAGATAATTGAGCTCAAAGTGCTCGTATGGATTGAGGTACCGTATTAGAGGGTTCACAACACATTTGATTTGTGAAAATAATTTTCAGCTACACCGATAAGATTATTGTAGACAGCTACTGTATTATGGTAGATAGCCACTGCGTTGCTGTGGAGAGCTACTGTAGATTTTTGACAATAATTTGTGTAGCGCCTAAACTTCCACTCACCTGACGTTCCAATTAGTCCAGAACCTCCAGAAGGAGGTTGGTTGGGGTACTTGAAAGCTGGGGAGTTTACGAAGGATGCTGGTGGTAGACGAGCATTGGAAACGGTGCCGGTTCTGAATTCAAATATAGTCAATACGTTAATTCACTCAAATTCTCACCTTTGACCGGATGAACCGTATTGAAGCACCTCAACTTGGTCAACTAGTGAAACGAGCTGTTGGTGTGGTGTTGACCTGGTTTGGGAAGCTGGAGGCTTGGCAGGATTACTGTAATTGAAACATTTATAAAATGAACCTCCAATTTTCGAGATTCTTACCTCTCGCCTGATGGATCGGATCTAGCCTGATGATCCGGCACGTCAACTAGGTCAATTAGTGAGATGAGCCTGACGGTGTTACTGAAACTTAAGGATTTATAGAAGCAACTTTTTTCTACCTACCGTGGTTCCCGACCATAGGTCATAAACACGCTGCTATCAATTTTTCCCTGGTGCAAAATTTCTGGCGAAGGGTTGCCATCGGACTCAATGTCCATATCAGACCCACTGGTGGAACCATGCACCAAATCCACGGATTCCCTTCTCAGTTTCTTTGGAGCTCTCGGAGTAGCAGACCATCCTTGCTCATTAGAAGAATCGCGACCTGTCTCCTGATGGCGAGAGCGGCTGCGCGATCGACGCCGCGTTTCCTTTTTTCCATCAGAATCGTCGAGGTGTCTCCTTTTGCGATCAGGGCTGGGACTTGGCGATCTTGATGAGGAAGTGCAGGAGTTTCGGAAAGATTGAGCAGAAGCTGCACTGGCTTCAAGATGGGGGAGGTAGTCGAAAACTGAGGAGATTAGACTCGGTGTTTGGCGGTTTTCAACTTTCTCTGGAACAGATTTTCCCGCAGCTAGAATCCCTGGAGGTCTATCTGGAGCTGGCAGCGAAGCTTCTTGAGATCTATTCTTCTGGTTCTTTTGATCTTTCGACGCTTCCTTTATCGGTGATGGCGAATTGAAAACTGCGATCTTCGATTTCGCGATTTTTCGACCGCTCGATCCTTTGAAATGCATCGGAGCTAGACGAGCTGGAGTTGATGCTGGCTCTGGTGTTGGTAGAGCAGGTGAAGAATCAGTGGAAGCTTCTGTAGTGCTGATCTTGACAGCTATATGTGAAAGCACTGGTGGCGGAGGTGGTGGAGGTAGAAGCTCCGATGGTGAAGGGGATGGAAGAGAAATGTCTTCTGAAGGCTTCCCAAGGAAATCTGGAATGAATTTGCGAAGATTCGGTAAATCGTTCCAGGGGAGAAAACCGAGCGGGTTGGTTGGTTGTTGGCTCTCATGGTTTGGTCCAATCGGGGCAGCTGGTGCAGGAGAAAAGTCAGTGTCCTTGACAGCGTCTTGGGGTAATTCTGAAGGCTTTGGGGTCGAAGTTCCTTCCTCGCGAACGTCCTGTCGTTCTCCAGCTTCCTTGGGATGGTTTTGAGTCTTGTGGACACGTGGCAAGTATTGATTGCTGACATCAAACTGAAGATCCTGCTGAAGATCCTGCTCATCGTTATAACCAGGTGAAAGATCATTGGAATCAAGGAAATTCTGTTGAACTTGCTTCTGACGGATTTCATTAAGACGTTTGATCACACTGTCACTCAAGATTATTGTACGGCTGGATTCTTTAATTGGAGCAGGTGGAGAAACTCGTTGAGGAGGAACGTTTGGCGTAGCTGGTTTAGATAGTTCAGGAGAATGAGCTTGTTTCTGATTCGGACGATGAACCTGACTGTTGTTGAAAACTCTTGGATCCTGATTGCTTGGTGCTTTTAAAGAGGCTGGTGGAGATGAACGAACTTCTGCTGCAGCATATCCAGGTACGGTAGTTGGAGAATGAACCGGATTCTGATTCTGAAGTTGATGCCCGGATTGTTTCGATGGAGCCATACGAACTTGAGAAGCCGAGGTTGGAGAGACTGGTGCAGCCAGTTCAGGAGAGTGATGAGGACGATGAATCGGTGTGTTGTTATAGACTCTGGTACCTTGATGGTCGGATTCTGGAGCGATACGAGTTTGATGAGCAATGATTCGGTCAGCAAAACGAGGTTCGTTTGATTGTTGAGCATGAAATCCGAAAGAAGTGGAACTTCTGACATCATTGGCAAGAATTTGTCTATCCGGAGCAGCTGGAACATTTTGCCGTAGTTGATCCCGATGTTCGTTAGGAGTATTGGTTGCTCTTGGCTGCTGAGAGCGGAATCCAAGAGAGGTGGAACTTCTGGCATCATTGGCAAGGATCTGTCTATTTGGAGCAGGTGGAGTGAAATGTTGTGGCTCGCGCCAGCATTCATCTGGGGTTCTTGAACGGGGCTGGCTACGTGGATCATTGAGTCTTTGAAGACGTGGATCAGATGGGTGCACCCAACCATTGGCCGCTTGAACTTGGGGGTCTTGTTGTCCTATGTCTTGGTGGCGCACTGGGGGTCCTTGTGGTGGTTGGAGTTCTTGGTGGTGAACACAATGAGAAGGAGCAGGAATGGAAGTTGAGCGATTGGGAGTTCGATTTCCTTGAGCATCGTAACTCGGTTTTCTCATCGGAGACTGATTGTCGATGTAGTGATGGGGAGTTTGATTTCCTACAGACTCATAACTCGGTGTTTTCAATGTTGACTTGGTCACCGGGAAGACGTCAAGAGGAAGCGGAACCTTAGTCGCCAAACTCAATGGATCCGTGATATCCGAGTACTCTGGTCGCTTTTGCCTTTGTCTCTTCTCCCATACATCGCGTAGCTTTTCGACATCGTCACCGGAGATTTGTGTCATGAACATGTTTTTTAAACGATGGTGGAATCCGATCATCCTTTTGTCGTTCGCGATGAATTCCACCTGAAAAAAAAACGTGGATTTTGAGACTTTCTGTCTATTGAAACCGAGTTATTAAGAAATCAGCTACCGCCTGAGCTATGCGCATATCATCAAAAATCTACTTGCCTTGTTCAAACATGTCTTTGCCTCCTGATGATGAAGATATATGGAATCTTCATAGAATGTCTTGTAGCAAGTCGTACATCTCAAGCGGTAGACACCACTGGAAAGCACTGCATATAATTTTTAAGTAAAAAAATACACCACTCACCTATGCGATGACAAATGCTCGGTGACTTCAGAGTTGGTTCCGACGAATCCGCATGGTTCTTCTTTCGGATCATGAGGCTTTTCTTTTAAGCCGCACCAGAAGTATTTGACTTCAGTTTTGTAGAACTTCCTGAAAATTGAATGATTTTGTTTCCCCTCGGTTTTAAGATAGATAAAATATGCAGGATTTTCTCGGGAATCAAAAAAGTGATGATACAATGGCATATAATTAAAAAGTATACATAATTATAGGGTGGTTACTTTCTTTTAGCATCCATACGGACAGACGGATGTTAGCAGAAGCTACACTTTTTGTGTATTGGGAATTCTGAGAAACATAATTTCCGATTTCAAAAATAGACTTTTCATTTTTCTTAGACTATTTTCTAGACTTATTTTCGATTTAAACCATTTTCTACAGTATTCCCTAGCGGAGTCCAACCCGCCAAGAAAATATGAGGGGTGCCTACTACCGGTTGAGCTACACTGGGCCTACTTCATAGCCAACTTTGATCCTTTATCTCGGTTGAGGTAAAATATATCAAAAAGTAATCAACTGATGAAATGTTACTGATATTATGATAAAAACTTTCTTACAATTAGTTGACAACTTTTCGATATATATCACTGGAAACGAGATATATTCGCTCAAAATTAGCACTCCTTTTGAGCGTGTATTCGACTGAGGACTAAGAGGTGCCACCTTTCACCCAATTTATCTCGATTTCTGTGAAAAATGCTGAAAAGTGATAAACTAATGAAATATTTTTGATAATTTGATGATCATTTTCTCAGTTAATCACTTTTTGATATCTTTTACAGGGACCAAGATAAACTAGCTCGAAGTTGATAGTTCATTTACCCACAAACGCACGTCCTAGATTTCAAATTTGACCTATTCTCCAGAAAGTCCTATAAATTCCAATAGAAATTCCCCATGACTCATTTTTTTGTACTTTCCGTATCAATTGTAAGCTAATCTAATTAGCCAATAAATTTCTCATACCCCAGCGATACACATTCCTGATAGTACATCGTTAACCGACAGACACAACCGTTATAATAATAACCGTATGATGATGATGATGTGTTGTTGTTGACAAAGAAGATCATCATGAACAGTTTCCGATTTGAACCGCCCATATTTCTCTGTGTCTCTTTCTCTCTCTCTCACTTCATAGTCGAATTAACTAACAGTTATGGCATGGCGGCCCGACCCCTCAAGCCGCTATTCTTCTTCTTTTCCGTTGTTGCCGGAGAGTGAAAGATTCGGAAAATGAGATAGTGAGAAGGAGAATGTTAATCGGAAGAGAGACGCAGACATGTTTAGAAGAACGGCGCACTTTGGAGGCTACTGAGAGAGAGTGAGAGAGAGTGAGAGAGAGAGAGAGAGAGAGAGAGAGAAAGAGAGAGAGGCACACACAACCATACTCCCCTTACTATTCAATCCACCACCCTAGCGCCAAATTTTCCCTCTATCGCCCCAATAAGTTTCGAATTTCTTGCCCAATTCAATTTCCTGGATCAGTCTGGGTTTTGAGAACAGCGAAACTGATCAAGTCGATTCGAAATACTTTTTTTTCGAATTCCGTTTTGTTTACACTAAGTTTTCTGTATTTTTCTCGCTAGCAAATAGTGCTTGTGAATTTCTGAATTTCTGAATTTCTGAATTTCTGAATTTCTGAATTTCTGAATTTCTGAATTTCTGAATTTCTGAATTTCTGAATTTCTGAATTTCTGAATTTCTGAAT